CCATCATGGGAACAACCACACAGAACTGGAGTCCAGCTAGTTGACACACAGCTCCAACTGTCACAGATGGTGTCTGGCTACTACTAATAATCACTCTGAATGGGACCATAGAAGGTCCTGGACAGAATGGGAGAAAAATGTAGAATAAAATTTAATAGAAAAAGACCCCAGTTACTGGTTTGATAGACACTGGTGGAACCAACGAAACTATGGCCATTAGACACCCTTCAGACCTGGAACTGAACTCACCTCTGGGGATCACCTTGTAGCCAAACAGACAGGCCTATGAAGTGAACAATTAACCTTTGTGAGGAACATAATTCTCAGAATAATCAGCCACATAAGACCAAAGAGGCAGCATTTGCCCAAAAACAAAGCTCAGGAGGCAAGAAGGAGCAGGAAACAAGGATGAATGGAAACAGGAAACCCAGTGAGGAAGTAGAAAGAGTGCTGTATACTGAGGGAATTGCAATGAATGTTTTAAAACAAAATGTGCACAAGTTGAATGGAAAATGAATTTATTCTGTAAACTTTCACCCAACACAGAAAAGGAAAGGGGGAAGGGAACAGAAGGCAAGGGGAAAGGGAAGGGAAAGGAGAAAAGAAAGAACAAAGAAAAAGAAGGGAAGAACTTGGCATTGCTCTATTGTATATAGTTCAGTAAACTGTTTCTGGAACAAGGTAGATTACAAGAATAAATGAATACAGTTAGACTCACTAAATTTAGAAAACCAATTTGAAAAGAGCCATAGATTGGTAAATCATAATAATGTCTGTATATGTATATGGAGAGCCATTACAGATTTATAGACTGTGATTTTATATAGGTAACACACATATAATCTAGTGATAAGTATTGCTATATTTGCACCATGATTTTACAATTATTTAACAGATATTTAATTTACCTTTGACTTGTATTTTTCATATTTGAAATTCCTGGTACTACAGCCAAAGGAGCTCTGGCGGTGTCATGGGTAAGGCATTTGGCTGCTAACCAGAAGGTCCTTGGTTCAAACCCACCAGCTGCTCCATGGGAGGAAGATGAGGAAATCTACTTCCGTAAAAATTTACAGCCTTAGAAACCCAATGGGGGTTGCTATGAGTGAGAATCAACTCGATGGCCTTGAGTTTGGGTTTTTCTTTTAATATATATACTATAGCCAGAGACTCTGAGCAAAGTTGCTCTAGCTAACCTTCAAAGAATTTTTCAGCTACCATGTATAATCAAGTGATTAAAAATTCAAATAGCAAAATTTATTTAAAACAGCAGGAAGGGAAAATCAGTGACTTTTAAAGGCACAATTAACCGTACTTGCTTACATATGGCATGTTGAAAACAGCTTCTTAATTTGATTTAATTTACAATGTGGAAATTAATTTTCTTCACAGGGAGAAGAAATGGCAGAGGAATCAACTCAAAAATCAATTTATAAATATTTCCATTGTAGACAACTTTTAAGACTGTATTATTAGCCATCCATCCCTTTTTATGAATTTATCCTATATAACAATGTTAGTATGAAAAAAGATACAGATATATGTAGGATATTGATTGCCACATAGCTTGCAGTAAGGAAAAAAAGTAATCAACCTAAGTAAGTTATAGTGTACACATAAAACGGAATGTTTCATAATTAAAATGAATGTGGTATATCTGTGTGTTGATATGCAAATAACAAGTTTCTTTCCATTAAGCATAAAAAGCAAAGTGCAGAACAATATGAGTGGCAATGATTCCATCTACAAATGTAAATTTAAATATAGAAAATGCATCCATCCATCCATTCATCCATATAAAGTCATCACCAATCTATCTATATGAATAAAAAAACTTCTACAAGAAAAAATGAGAATTATTCACAGTAACGCCATTTAGGAATGAGACTACAAATCGCGAGAAGGAGACTGAATTCTACGCTTTCATGTTTTATGCTTTTACCAAGTAGGTCTTCTATTTAAAATAAAAATGAAAAATAAGGAAAGAAGAATGCTACTGGAATTCTTTTCTCTACTGATTGCATTTCTACTTAATGGATTGTCTATTGAAAATAAAAGCAAAAAAATAAAGAAAATATTGTTACTGATGTAAGTGATAATACTGTAAGCCACTAGCAAAAAAGACCTACCTTCTGTGTATCAATATCTTGTCTCATGATTCCCATTTCTTTATTTATCTTTTCTTTGTGTTTCTCACATTCACTTAGTTGAGTTATTACTTTATTAAGTTCAGTTTCTTTTTGCTACAAAAAAGAAAATACTTTAAGCATGTGAAATAAAAATATAACCAAATAAATAGTTACCAAATAATAGTTAAATTACCTTTTTATAGTCATCTTTCCCATCTTGAACATAGTTCTCAATGTCTTTCACATAGCCATGGATATTTTTAACCTTTTCTTTGATATCATTTAGCTGTGGAAAAATATTTATTAAATTTACATTGACTCAGACCATGGCATTTAAGAAGATTTATTTCCAAGGAAATTATCTTTCATTAAGGTGAAAACAAAAACAAAAACAAAAACTCTATAGGATAACACAGTGAAACAGTGGGTTGAAAGTTAAGAGCCCTAGGTTTCAGTTTATACCACCACCAAATTTTATGATCCCTGGCAAGTCCCTTTATCACATATAGAACTGGATTAAATAGTCTCAATCCTTCTATTTTAAACCAAAACCCAAAACACTGTAAGTTTAACCCTTATTCTAACATCAAAATTATACGGCAAACCTTAAAATACTATTGATCTGAAAATGTTATTTACTTTCATGTGAAATAATAGTCTCCAAAACAGTGCTATGTACATAAGTTAGTAAGTTTAATACATATTTGATAAGTAAATGTATAAATGAAACCTTACTTTATCTTGTGCCATTTTGTTGCTTGTATTTTTTTTGTTGATTAATTCTTCTTTTTCCTGCTGAAACTTTTCCAATGTTGTTTCCAAAGGGCTTACTTGTTCTTTGGCATCCTAAAAATATAAAGTCTTATATAGCATTCCATTATCTTCCTTTAGATATCAGACTTTGCAGTCATAACAAAAATACTTACTAATGTGCCAGGCTTTAAAAATCAACTCAAGTGCTTCTTCCAACAACCTGTGAGGAAGGTATCATTATCTTCATCCCCATTTTTAGATGATTAAACAGGCACAGAGAATGACTTGTCCAGGGTCACATCAGCCAGTAAATTAAATAGCCAAGATTCAAACCCAGGTCCAGCTCAAATCCACATTCTTAACTATCATGTTATCCTGCCTCAATCACTGACATGATTCTTAATTTAGGCCCCCTGCTTCCAATTATATTAGCTTGTGGCTTCAGAGATGACTTTTCATGAGTTTGTGGGGACCCATGTCAGCTTTGTGTAAACAAAGAACAGGAGAGCTCATTCAGTCCAAGTCTTTCTTTTATATAGATGGGAAAATGTTGGTAAAACACTTCTGTTCTTAAGCTCAGTCTGCTAAGACTAAGCAGGTATCTTATGGTTATAAAGTATACTGGTACAGTGATGTTGGTGTGCCCATACCTATTATGGAAGAAAGACTTTCAAAATATTTTAATAATCAGACGTCCCTGTTATTTGGACTTTTTAACATCTCAACAGTATAGCTGTATGATCACAACAATCCTCAAACACTTTTAAGATTATGAACTATTTATCAAAACCATGAAGGTAGACAGAATTACATTTAGTACTGCTTCATTATAGGTGTATTTTTTCTAAATGGGAAGAAGTACGGTATGGTAGGAAGTTTTAAATTGTCGTAGGCCTCAGAAAACCAAAAACCAAACTCACTGCCATTGAGCTGATTCTGACTCACAGTGACTCCCATTGGGTTTCCAAGGCAGTAAATCTTTATAGAAGTAGGTTGCCCAGTTTTCCTTCCACAGAATGGCTGGTGGGTTTGAATGGCAAACCTTATGGTTAGCAGTCAAATGCCTTAGGCACTACACCACCACAGCTCCTTAGGCTTCAGAAGACATACCTAAAAATTAACTCTTCCCTTATTAGATCCTTAGACTTGGAACAGCTCTGACTTTCGATTTCTTTTTCTATAAGAAAGTGATTTAGTTACCTATCTCAACAGGACTGCTGAGACATTAAACAAAAACCAAACCCACAGCCACTGAGTTGATGCCAACTCATAGTGACCCCTATTGGCTTTCCAAGATGGTAAACCTTTGGAGAAGTAGACTGTCCAGTCTTTCTTCCATGGAGTGGCTGGTGGTTTTGAATGGCCAACCTTCTGGTTAGCAGTCAAATGTCTTAAGACACTGTGCTCCTTTGCTAGCACACTAAATAGGTTAATCAAAGTGCTTTATAGGGAAGATGGCGGACTAGGCAGAAGGATTGCACAGACCCTCTTCAACAAAGAAAAGGGAAACCAATTAACACAGACACAGAAGATAATCTTG